AGTTAAGGGCTGCATTAGAGTTGTTAATATATTTTTTTATAAAACAGACTATAGATAATTTTAATGATTGGGAAGTTATAGGGTTAGGGTTAACAATGCTTGCTGCCTATTAAAAACAAAAGACAATGGCATGCACAGTCCAATAACAGCAGCTAAAATTTAAATGACTTAATATTAAAAACAATTCAAACTTTGTATCATTACATGAATATTTGTTGGTTTTTGCAAAGGAAAACACAGCAAGGAAACAAAGCTAAAACWTAAAAAGAAAACCAATAAAAAAAGCTTTTTGAAAGCTGCAGATTTCTTCCTCTACCCTCGCTTCAAAAGAGTAACTTGCAGAAACTGACAACTGGTGTTGAAGGAGAATTTCAGTTCATCTTCAAGCTAAAAGAATCCAACTAGGTCATYGTAAAGGACAGCAGCCCACACTAGTTACTGTCTTCCACCTCACTTGAGCCTGGCTTGAAATGTGCTCTGTCTCCATTAGTGAACCTTCACACAGCTGTCTTGTGCAAAATCATTCACATTTCATTGTCATGGCAGGTTTTTTTCTCCCCCATTTCTTTAAAAACGTTGGTGATATAACATGGGAGTCTTATTCAGTRGTTAGGTTTCATCTTTCTTTACACTGCCCATGCCTCGGAGCGTTTGACACCTTGTAGTTCTGGATCTCACAGGTACAGGAGGTTGACGTTTGAAATATGGAGACATTTTACTATTTTTGACGTCTTTAGATTAATTTCTTTTTTGACCTAACTTACCAGAGATGATAAACCCATWGGAAAGAAATGTAGGGCCAAATCCACAATTTTGGCAATGGTTAAGTTCTATGGWCAAAGTCATAGACATAAAATTGCTATTTAGATGTTCGTTCCTAACCTTTGGCTCAATCGATTGGTACTTGGGTGGGTGGGGGTGGACACAAAGCTTGTGATATATAGTAATATCAACAGAACTTTAAAGATGACTGTGGGATGCTGCTAAAAAGTGTATTTTCAAACCTGCTGTCACCAGGCTGCATGTGTCTACATCCCCTTTGATCAGCCAGAACCATGCAACACATGTCATTTCTAAACGTGTCAAAAGTGCAGCCGGCTGTGGTTGTAAAATGAGTTCTGTCACAGACTGAAAGTGCATTATCTGCATCTCTTTTAAACTTGCTGGTTGGGAAAATGAAATGATATGGGTCATAAACTTTTCATTAGTTTGACTATTTCCATAGTTACATCAATAATGAAGTGTGAGAAAAAAAATATGTTGAAAGAATCTCATTTGTTTCTTCAGTGGCTTAACTTTGATGAATCCCATCTTCTTATTGCTAAACTACTTCAAGAGCACTATTCACCCACTTCTAAATCCTGTTTATAAAAGCTGTTATTTTGGCTGTTTAATTTTTTTCTGTCCATTTAGGGTTCATTATTTATTCTGAGAAATGAGTACTTACTATTTAAAATGTCATTTGATTATTTAGAAAGCCAGGGTCATTTTTCTTTATGTGGGTAAAGCTGCTTTTGGAGTAATGTTAATTTTGTGTTTACAAAGTAGAATTTCAATCATGTTTCCAACAGACCAGAGATTTTCAAAAAAAAGACACTTTTGATTTAGTATTTGTAAGATAAGGTCTTTCTGAAAAATATTTTCAGGGTTTACTAAACAGATTTGATATTACAGTTTTTGTAAAATATCAAATTAAACTATATTAATTTGAATATATAAAGTATCTATCTGAATGTGCAAAAATGTCTACAGGTATGTTGGTGATGATTCAATGTTTCTTTAACTATAATAGACCTTTGGTTGTGACCTGAAATTCTTGTATTATAAACTGAACATATTCAGACCCGTTCAAGATTTTTTTTGTCTACATCTTTTCAATCCCACCCCCACACAGACACGTGTTTGGTTGTTATTCTATCCTTTTGGGGACTTTGCATTGACTTCCATTCATTTACCTGTCATTTGTAGCCTAATCCTGACCCCTTACCCCAAACCTAACTACTGACCCAGACAATTTGTAAATCATTTTTAACTTATATTCAATTTAATACAAGATAAAGACAATATATTTAATGTTAAAAAAGACAAACTTTTTTTGCAAATATTTACTCATTTTGAAYTTGATGCCTGCAACACATTCCAAAAATGCTGGAACATGGGCATGTTTACTGTACTCCATCACTTTTTACAACTGAAGACGTAATTGTTGAAGCTTTGTAGGTGGAATTCTTTCGCACATTTGCTTGATGTACAACTTTAGTTGCTCAACAGTTCAGGGTCCAATTGTCATATTTTGCACTTCATAATGCCCCACACTTCTTCAATGGGAAACAGGTCTGGACTGAAGGTGGGTCAGTCAAGTACCTGCACTCTGTCACCCAGTGTTCAAGTTACCCATGCCATAGCCAGTAACTCACCCCTATACCATCAGAGATGCTGGCTTTTGAACTTTGCACTGATAACAGTCCGTAGTCCTTTTCCTCTTTGTCCCGGAGGACATAATGTCCTTGATTTCCAAAAACAGTTTAAAATGTAGACTCAGAGCACAGGACACTTTTCCACTTTGTGTCAATCCATCTCAAATGGACTGGGCTCAGAGTGCACTTGTAGATGTAGTGACAAGCTGTGTTTACTGACAGTGATTTTCTGAAGCGTTCCTGGGTCCATATGATAATATCCATTACAGAATTATGTTTTTAATGCAGTGCTGCCTGAGGGGTCAGGCATTCAGGATCGGTTTTTGGCTTTGCCACTTAGAGATGCGATGACATGCGACGCGACGAGACGAGATGAGATGAGATGAGATGAGATGAGATGAAACTTTCTTGATCCCACATTGGGGAAATTTGCACATTACAGCAGCTCAAAACAGGACAGGGTGAGATAGAATAAAGAAAGATAAGTAAAAGAAAAAAACCGCTATACTCGTGATATATAACAATGTACATATACCTAGTACAGTACATAAATGGACATATATGAAGGTGCATATTAGTGATGGCAGTGTAGGTGAATTGTCCAAGTGACTGATGACATCACGATGTGTTATACAGTCTAACTGATGACATCACGATGTGTTATACAGTCTAACTGCAGTTGGAATGAATGACCTACGGAAACACTCCGTCCTGCAGCGAGGATGTTTAAGTCTCTGACTGAAGGAGCTGCTCAGCCCMCCCATGGTTTCATGCAGAGGGTGGTGGGGGTTGTCCGTGATGGCTGTCAGCTTTGCCAACATCCTCCTCTCACCCACCACTACCACAGGCTCCAGAGGACATCCCAGCACAGAGCTTGACCTCCGTATCAGTTTGTCCATGCTATTCCTGTCCCTTTTGGTACATCCAGCCCCCCCAGCAGACCACTCCATAGAAAAGGGCAGATGCTACCACGTTGTCATTGTTCCGATTTTTGAAACATGTTGCAGGCATCAGATTAAAAATGAGTGATATTATGTAAAAAAAAGTTTGAACATTAAATATATTGTCTTTGTAGTGTATTCATTTGAAAATAGGTTTGAAATTATTTGCAAATCATCATAATCCCAAATGTCCCAAATTCATTGGGGAGCAGAGTGTTGTGAAAGTGGTAGGGTTGGGCATAATCGTATCGTGTGCGATTAATCGTCAGAAAAACATTAATCGATTACTTTTTGGCACTTGACGATTAATACGATTAATGCCACCAGGCAGAGTCCGCTCGCTGCTCCTCTCTGCTTCATATACGATGAACAATAAAAAAGTTCTATAATTTCTATTCATCTTCTTTCCATCTATCAACACAATTTAAAATTTGATGTATTGCCTTAAGTCTGTAATTTTGACACAATTTGGAACAGAATTTTTATGAAGAGCAAATCTTTCTCACTACATTGGTCATGTGACCAGGACATAAGGGTGTCCAGCGACCAGGGGATTAATCGTCAAATTTTTTTGAACAGGGTCTTTTTATTTCATTTTTTAACACAAACAACAGAAAAGAACAAACTAACAAAAACACAGAACAAAACACCCCTCCCCCAAAATCCCTCCCATCCCACCCCTCCTATACCGGATCTACTACACAACACATGTACATCCTGTATTCATACCTCATTCAATACAAGGTACAGGTTTGTGTACAAAAAAACAAAACAAAACAATGTTTAACCTTTACACAAAGTTATCTGCCGAAACTTTGGATTAATCGTCAAATTAATCGTTATTGGCTAAATACCACAATTAATCGTGATTAACTTTTTTTTTTTACCAATATTGCCCAACCCTAGAAAGTGGTGAAGAAATGTACAAATTAATTGAATTACTCACTGAATTTATGTGAGCATAACTGACCACAGCTGGGTTTTACTCAAGTAACATTAGAGTGGAAAAAAAGCACATTATAAAAATTAGGTTTATGTGAATATCTTATTTTTGTTAACTGAAATATTCTGTAAAATCCAAATGTTTAGTTGTTCTGAAAATGGATAGGCTCTTTTCTAAGAAATGTCTGAAACAATAAAATGTCAAAGTTGTTCAAAGTCTTTCAAGAAAAACTTTCAGCTCTAAAGAAATGAGCTGAAAATGAGTCTCAGCTACTCCTACAGTAAACCTTACCTTACATTCAGTATCTGTAAAAAAACTGTTTCAAAGCCATGTTTGTGTTTTTCAATGTTGTTTAGTTGTAGTAGCAATGTTGAATCAAGTTGACTCCAAAGGTTATTAAGTTGGGGATTTATATCGAAGGATTTAGATAGTTTAAAAAATATCTGTGCAATGCATAATGGAATTTTTCTAAGAAACAGACAAATGAATTCAAGCACACAGGCAAATACGTGACGACCACCATGAAAGGCAGGCAGTTTGTATAGTTTTACCTTAGAAGATAGTCTCATGAGCATTAGTCTCAGCATTTCGAATTTTCCAACTTGAGTGTTTTCACTGAGATGAATTACAAGACATTTATTTATACATCTGTCTGGTTTCATGTAGACAGCAAACTGTGTGTTTTGTTTTCTTTTACAGGAGATCATCTGCGTGTATGTCCTCAGGGAAACACATGTTGCACCCAAGAAATGGAAGACAAATTTGGCCAACAAAGTAAACAGGACTTTGAGAATCTGCTCAATGAAACAAGTCATGGATTGAGAATTACCTTTGTCTCCAGACATCAGAGATTTGATGGTAGGCATTTATTTTATTAACATGCTATGTGGAGAAATATCGTTATGTAAATATCTTTTTATATGTGAAAGACTGGTCAGCCACCAAAGTGTACGGTGCTGCAAAAAAAAAGAAGGAAAACCAAAAGTCTAAAATTGTTGTTTTTTTATTCGMAAGGGTTGACTGAAGGTTTCTATTGTCCTCCCTCCAGAGGAGATAAGTTGTGAAAATCTTATTAATTGCTTTAGTGCTGAGAAAATTCTTGTTGGATTAGACAGACATGGCTTCTCTCACAGCAGACTGACAGACTGGATGACAACAAACAAACTTCACTTTATTAAGGCTTTTTGATGTTCTTGAACTGGGTGCAATTTGGTCTTAACCCAATTGGTATGATTTTGACCAGTAGGTGTTTAATGTTTTTTTTTGTTTTGTTTTGTTTTTTTTGTAAGGGAAGGCACTCATGACTACTCTAAACCTTTCTGTAAAATTTTGTTCAGTTTCTGTAACCAGATTATAGCTATTTTTTTGTTTTTGCTAAGGCTGAATATCTGTGGTGGTCAAACTGAATTGACTTCAAACATCAATCAATCAATAAGTTGTAAATGATTGCTTTCTGAGAGGTTGTCTACTGGTTCATGAGATATTTTGCTAACAGACACTCACTTACAGGCAGTTACTTTATTGCTGGTCTGCCTGATGATAGGAGATGTTTTGGGCTAGTGTATCATTTAGCCTCTTTTTAAATATAAATTTGACTATCAACACCAAACCTAAATATTAAATGTTTTAAAGTATAATGTCAAAATATTTGTTTTCATACTTGTTTATTCAGAGGTTGACAAAATRTATATTTAAAGAAAGACTGAGTGACTAATAATGTAACATATTGTGTGGCAAAGTCWTCTTTCTATTCAGTTACTTTTCGGGCGAAAATAGTAAATAAATGTTATTTTAATCATATACTGTCAARGCAGTGACTGTCTTGTGAAAACCCCATTTCCCTGTTCATGCAGGCAGCACTTAGATGCATGACTCCAGGCACCCGTTTCTTTTCTCTCAGGTTTTGCTGCCACTTTAAATCTTGGAGTCAGGATGTGCAGGTTCAAAGCCTGTGTGTCAGCTGATTGTCTCTGAAAACTTATTTGAGACATTAGAAATGTTGTTTTCTAATTTTATACAACTTTTTATATTGTATAATAAAGTTTGAACTCAACTGTGCGAGACTTTTAGGTTAGGATTTCAACAGTCTCTCTCTCTCTCTCTGTGTGTGTGTGCGCGTGCGACACTGTATTGCTTTTGGTGTTTTCTAGTCCTGTTTTTCCACAAAGACTTCATGTTTCTGAAGTAATTAATGTTGGTTTCGATATTGCTTCAAAGCGCATAAATTTCATAACAATACAAAGCTCTTGGCACACTTGGACGCCCTTTATCATGTATTTAGCACCTGGCTTCGGAGTCCCACCTACACAGAGTCAGTGCGTGTATATATTCATCTCCTTGTGCAGACTTTGATGAGTGTACAGTAGCTCCTACTGGTTGTGCAGCCCACACATATTCCTGACACTACAGTCATTCGTCATAATAACAGAGCATGGATTGGGCTTTACCAAGGCCATCCACACAGAAATATCTACAACATCTCAGAGGCCCGGTGTAGCTGTATGAATCAAATGTTGTGCTTGTATCGTCCGCTTGTCTGCTTAGTCACCGAGGGGAGATATTGACCCTGTAGATACAACAATGCAGTATGTTTGCCCCTGATTTTCAGTAGTGTGTCACTAAAAGGGATAGTTCACATCTTTCAAAGTGGGGTTCTGTGCCAAGGTTATGAGAAAAACAAAACAAAACAAAACCAAAAAAAAAAAACCATTAACTTACTAGTTAATGTTTATTCGAAGGACTTCCATTTGGAGAGATTGCATTTTACATTATTGCATTTTGAATGATAAGAGGTTTATTCCAACACTATTTTATAAACCTTTAAATTTATGTTAATTATGAGTTTTCATAGCTATTATAATATACTGATATTCCTGTTTAACATGTCCCAGGCTGCACTGAGTGCTACAGCTATCTGCTGCTGCCATTTGCTCCTGGAAAACCCATATAATTATTTGTTAACAAACTTGTAATATGAAACCAACAGCATCGTTAAAGTTTATAAAATATTTCTGATGAGCTCCTTTGTGAAATTTGGGTTGTTACAGGACAGAGATCCTCTTTGGTCCTGGTTCTATTCAGACTAGAATTWAACAATTTCTCGGTCATTCAAAGGACTATCATCATCAGTCCCTTAGCCTTTTGCCATGGGGCATAACAAACTTGAGACACTATTTGCACAACTAATGAGATTTTCAACACAATAATTCTGTTTAATAGTTGACTAACACCTCTCCACAACATTATTTCAGTATAAAAATGTGTAAAATAACTTTACAACTTCCTTTACTGTATCCACTTACAKAAGCATTCTAGTGACTATACATGAGGTATTGCACTTATCTGTAGCTCTAATTAGTATTTTCACTTCGTTTGTACTTYATTCATAATTTATGCCATGAATCAGGCTTGTGGAGAACTTGAGTCTGTTCTAATTGATTAGAAGCAGAACCTAAAAAAGACAAACAAAGGAAAACAGATGACATTTAACCCTCTCTCTAATGCAGAAACAGAAACATGTTAGAAACATGCAAACCTGGAAAGAACAGGAACTACACGCGCCCCTTGTTGCCGTGAGGCAAGACTGCTAAAAATTGCATCACTGTTCCTCTCAGCTACTGTGAATGTCACAGTGTAGATAAAAAAACAGACTGCAGTGATTTGCAAGACCTAATTTACTTTGATTAATGGAGAAAAGTTTCAGCAGAAGTGGAAATTTGAAGAGCATTATTGGTCAGTTTTGTAAACTGGAAACTAATGTAATAAAACAACATAATTAGCACATCCCTTGAATTAAACTATTTCTAATAGTGTGTATATAGTATATAGAGAAAATAAAACTTGAAAATAAAACTTAATATATTTATGTTCATTCCTGTGCTCATTTTTGTATGTTTACTTTTTGAGGTAGTAAATTTAATGCTTGTGCTTAATGGGGAGCTTTTATGTGACTCAACATTAAGCTGGCTGAAGAAATTAACAGAAGGAAAAAGTAAAAAGACAACCCGCCATGTTGTCTACAAATGCCCAGCACTCAGAGTGGCTCTTCTTTAGATAAGCACAGCAGGACAGACCAATCAATGATCCAGCTCATGATAGACGTGGGATTTGAAGTGCAGCAGAATAGCTGGTTTCACATACAGGCATGAGACCTCAAGAAGGCCGAACATCAAGCTGTGTGTGTTATTTCATGCACTTTCAGCTGTCACACAGAGAGTGATGGGCTCCAGCTCTGACTGGCTGGAGTCCCGTTGAGAACAATGAGAGCTCGGTTGGTGATAACAGCTGTTTACTCTACGACACGCAATTTTTTTCCTTTTTTTTCCTGGGTTTATTTAGGGTTGGCACTCTAATAGAGATTCAGAAAATACTGCTTTCAAAAAAGTCACATTGTTACCTGACATTTGATCAGAAAATTTGGATTGTAGTTCATCTGTTTGGCTTATTTATTACAATGTTCCTTTTTTTTTGCAATAGGCCAAGCTTTTCAGTTTGTTGAGGAAATGGTTAATGTTTATTTTAACGTTATACATATACACACATTATACATATACACACATTTTATATATAGTGTGTATATATATATATATATATATATATATATATATATACACATGCATATATTCCTATGTTTACAGAAACAGAGGATCATACGGTCAAAAAAACCACTCGCACAGTGCAAGGCAGCTAAGGAAGGGAATGGGCTGGGGGTCATGATATGGGGTGGGATTCAGCGGAGCTGGTGACGTTTCAGGTTAATACTCCATACTGGAACCAATCAAAGACCTCCAGAGCCAAAAACAAGTTATCAACCAGAACACAAATCACCAGAGTTCAGTTCATCTCCACTCATCGTGGCCTTCAGACTGATCCACCCACRGATGGTACTGGTAGGGGATGGGGAGTCGAGCCTTTGTTTCACGTGTCATCCAGGGAGTTTTGATAACTGCTGAGCCAAGGTTAGCAGCTGCGGGGATCCAAAAGAGAAACATAAATGTTTTGGGACAAGCAGCCTTGATTTTCTTGCTGCCTTAAGTCTGTAACTGCAATTCTGTGATGGCGAAAATGCCAGTGTTCCGAATTCATTACCGCCTAGGCTCTCTTTCCATCTGAAACTTCACCCAGGTGTAATCTTACTCCTCACAGGCACGTTGCTGAACTGTGATTCTCGTCAGAATCATGTCCAGTTTGCAACTTATATCCCCCAACGTTTGAGTCTGTGCGTTTCCWGTACGGGAGACTCCATCCAAGGTTCCTGGCAGTTTCTCACCGGCCCGGACTGCTGTCAGGATTGCTTTCATTTTCTGTTAAGCCAGGACTCCTCCAGAGTCKATCAGCAGGAATCCAGTTATCATAAATCCAAATATGTACAAATCCTCCATGTCTTCAATGGAAAGCGGCGCCAAACAGATGAGGTTCCAGCCCCAAGAACCAGACACTCGCCCAGCCACCACCATTCCACTGGAACAGCTGCGCTCCCCTCGCTCCAATCTCAGTGTAGAAAAAATAGTGTCAATTGTGTTCAGAGACCAGTTGACCAAATCCATAATTCATTTTGTTTTCGGATGATAGGTAGAAGAAAGGCTTGAAAAAAAAAGCTGCAAAGCAGGGAAGAAGGGAGAGGTTCTGGAGAGAGACAGAGAGCAAAAAAGTGTCCGACTCCTCTGAAGGCCAAGCAGAAAAAAAAGTACAAACAGCTAAACATCATAAAGTGGTCCAGTCAAACCTCAGTCCTATTGAGATTTTTCCAGAATGATTTGAAAACCTCTGTGTGCAGCACTCATGCAGGAGCAGTTTTGCTGATCTGAAGTTTTGAATCATCCCTTTGAATTGTATATGAACAAGATGCAAAATTGTAA